CCCTCTACGTCCCTAGACATGGCATGATGATGTGGTGGGACCCTATGAGAACTCATCCAAATGCATACATATACACATCACTTTCCAATCCCTACAGCAATGTGCAGCTACCTTTGCTCAGCATTTTGATGCTTATGTTGAGGGGGCTGGAAGTGTTAGTTGGCAAAACCACACTTATGAAGACTTTTTATCTCCCGAATATCCATCGTGTGGATTTCATTCTTGGGATGCCATGGTTAGTGAAGGTGGATCCAGAGATAAAGTGGAGTATTAACCATGTCTTGCTGGAGTATGGTGGCATTAAAGATCTGTGGTTTGGCAAAGGTGTTCAACCACCAGTTGTTATGCTCTCTGCTACATCTTTGAAACAAGTTTGTCGTAATGGAAAAACAATTTCGAGTTACTTGCTGTTTGTTCGTGACTTGGGGGCCCAAGGCACGTGTGGGGAAGAAGCAACAGTATGGGATGTACTTGACGAGTTTTCTGATGTTTTTCCATTAGAACTTCCTCATGGGTTGCCTTTGTTACGAGGTGTGGAGCATAGGATTACTTTGGAGCCGGGGATGTGGCCAATTTATTGGCGTCCATTTCGGTTAAGTTATGCGGAGGAGCAAGAAGTTTAATGACAAGACAAGGAGTTACTTGAGTTTGGATTTATTCAGCCAAGTAAGTCTTCGTCTAGGGAGTGGATATCATTAGATTGCAATGGATGATGCATCTATTTCCAAGACGGCATTCAACACAAGCTTCGGACATTTTGAGTTTACAGTTATGCCGTTTGGTTTGATGAATGCACTAGCCACATTTACTCGGTTGATGACGGAGGTATTTGGGCATTATCTTCATAAGTTTGTAGAGATTTTCTTGGATGATATTCTTGTTTTTAGCAAGAATATGGAGGAGTATAAGGTGCATTTGCACAAGGTTCTTTTGTTACTCCGAGATAGCAAACTTTATGCGAAGATGAGCAAATGTGAATTTGCAAAGTCGAAGGTGGAATATCTAGGCTATATTATGACATCTAAGGGTGTCAAGACAGATCCAAGGAAAGTGGCTGTGGTGGAGAACTGGCCTACACCGATTATAGTGGCCGAGTTGCGCAGTTTTCTTGGTATGGCTAGTTACTACCGATGTTTCCAGCATAATTTTGCCGAGGTGGCTATTCCTTTGATATGGTTGTTACGCAAGAATGTGCCATTCGAGTGGAAGCAACCACAAGAGGAGAGTTTTGTGGTACTGAAACAATTGTTGAGCAAGACTCTAGTGCTTCGCATTGTTGATCTATCAAAACCTTACGAGGTGACATGTGATGCGAGTGGTTATGCACTGGGAGGAGTTTTCATGCAAGAAGGACTTTGAATTCCGTGGAGCAACACTATTCCACATATGAGCAAGAGTTACTCTCTATTGTTCATGCTTTATGGATGTGGTGGCACTATCTTTATGGTGCAATGTTCGTGGTGTTGACAGATCACAAACCATTTATGTATCTTTTCACACAGAAGGAGTTGAACACTAAGCAAGCTCGTTGGATGGTCAAACTCATGGAGTTTGGGGAGTTTCCTATTGAGCATCGTCTGGAAAAATCATATATGGTGGCAGATGCTTTATCTCATGTTCGTCATGTGATGACATTACAAACATGATTTTGTCATCATTTGAGTAAGGTGGTCAGCGAGTTTGGGCAGTTGGTTGAGCATGCTCAGGCTCAAGATACTGAGGTGGCTTCTTTGCGAGACCAGATGGAAACCCCTTTCTCATTGGTGGATGGGATTCTCTACTATAATGGCCATGTATATTTGCCACGGGTGGATGCGTTAATTACTCAAGTTTTATTCCACTATCATGACTGTCCCGAGGCCAGTCATTTTGGGGGGAAGAAGACATATGACTTGATTAAGTGCAGTTTTTATTGGAGGAATATAAAGGCTAATATCCTCAAGTATTGTAAATCATGCGAGCTTTGTCAGCGGGTTAAGGTGCTATGGGAGAAGGTAGGGGGATTTTTGCAACCTTTACCTATTCCTTAGAGCTGTTGGTGTAATATCTCTATAGACTTCATCACTTGTTTGCCATGAACACAGAGGCAAAAAGAACAAGTATGGGTTATAGTGGATCAATTGACGAAGTATGTGCAGTTGTTGGCTCTTCGGAAGACTGTCACTGGCTTAAACTTGGCTACAGTTTACCTGGAGAAGGTTTTTCCTAATTTTGGTTTGCCGAAGGACATCATTAGTGATTGAGATTCAAAGTTCACCAGTGGATTTTGGAAAAGCTTTGCAAAGGCTATGCAAGTGACTTTGAAACTCTTGAGTGGAGATCATCCTCAGACGGATGGGCAAACCGAGCATGTGAATCAGGTGGTGGAGGATATGCTATATTGTAGCATTAGTCAAAAGCAAAAACAATAGGATCTATATCTTCCGTTGGTGCAATTTGCTTACAACAATAGCTAACACAGTAGAACCAAGCTAAGTCCTTACTTTGCCATGTTTGGAAGGCATCTATGAACAACAATGGAGTTAGGATTGCATTTGAGTAAGGACATTCAAGATAAACTTGATTCCGAGGTGACTGATCTGGCCATAGAACTTGATGAGATTCTGGTGCTGTGCAAACGAAATTTGCAAGTAGCTCAGGATAGAGTGAAGAAGTTTGCCAATGAGCATCACCAATTCTGGGAATATAAGGTGGGTGATCTTATTTTTGTGCGAGTGAGTTTTTGACTATACCGAAGAATCTAGAGAAGAGGAAAAAGAAGGAACTTAAAGTCGAAAATGATCACCAGGTTACCACGGCACTCTGAGCAGCATTGTGATTTGCTAGAGTCTTGAGCCGCTGCTCTCCGATGTCCCGCGAGACGATATGATACTCCGCTCTCCATCCGCAAGTTTGTGCTGGCTCACAAAAAGGCCCGTCAAGGCCTAGGTTCGTCAGAGTTTGTTCGTCAAGCCACTCTGGGGATTTGGATTCGTGCCGTTCTAAGTGCTAAGTGCGGAACGAAACAACACGAACGAAGAAGTAACGGTACGATTGATGTTCTCTCATGGACGAACTAAGTTTGTAGTGATTGAATCATTTTATTTTGGTGCCAAAGTACAATGCTTCTCGTCATCCTCTTCCAGAGGCCTCGACCATTCTAAAGTCGCTCATGCTGACGAGATTGGCCTCTTTGCTTATTCTTCCCATTTTTCTTCTTTTTCGTCCCTCGCAGCAAGAAAAAGTGAACCTCAACTTAACCTTGGACTTCAAAACTCGACCATCATCCCTCGAGTTCCTCTGCTCCAGATGGCCTCCAGTCCAGGTTCTTCTCGTCTTCTTTTCTTTCTTTGCCGGTTCATCTGATCCAGATTCACTCCAAGACTACTGCCTTCCTACTCAAGAGCAGCAGCACCAGTGCAAGAGCTCGCCATCACCCAGTGACTTCGTCTCCAAAGTCTTGGGAAACACCACGAATACCCAGCAGACCTGGAATGCCACTCTACTTTCCTCAGCGAACTTCCTCTTAACACCATGGACCTCACCATCGCCAGAGCCAAACTGGGAGTCGGAGGCACGGTCCCGCTGCATTACCACCTCCGAGCATCTGAGCTCGTCTTCATCGTGGAAGGAGTCGTGGAGGTCGGGTTTGTTAACACGAGCAACGTCCTGTACATCCAGACCCTCCAGCCGGGGGACGTGATGATCATTCCCAAAGGCATGCTCCCTCCACTACAAATACAATCCTGGCAGCAGCAGAGCCACCTTGCTGGCCTATAGCCAGCGTTCCGGTATCCTCGCCCCTGGCCCCGGTGTCTTTGGCTCTGGAATTCGAGACGAAGATATCGCGGCCTCCCTTGGCGGACTGGACCACACCTCGCTTGAAGCGGTGAAAGCTCAGTTCATAGTTCAGTTGTTAAGCATTAGTAGTTGTAGGCTGGATCAATCTTCTCCCAGCTGGAACTCAGGATATAGCCAACAAGGGCATCTGGGCTCGCCCTAAGAAATCATTCTCCCACCGCGGGAATCTCTAGGAATCTATTCCTGAGTTGAGGAACAGATTAGGAGAGTAAAATTAGTGCGCGACTAGCAAACAAATGGTTCGGAGCTGCGCAAGCAGCGTTAGACGTGAGCACTGACTTGTTTGTGTCTAGCCGCGCTGGGTGGTCTCGATGGGAAGCTGTGCGAATGGCTGTGCGAGGAGAAGCACGACTTGAATGTTAAGGAGGGCCGGCTGCAGAAGGAGGAGCTTCTCGCAGAGAAGCTCCTCATCTTACTGAAGCACGAGGGTATCGCGCTATCCACAAGTTAACGGAAAAGAGAGCGAGAGTTGTTTAAGCCATTGCTTGGCGAGTAAAAGGCAACTGCTTGTGCTCTTGGTGTGTGATCGTAGTCCAAGCTCCTCGCAGTGATCGATTAAAAATTTTGAGCTCCAACTTGGACCTTCTGGAACAGATGTTTTTCGTGGAAAACAAATGTCTTACGTTTATTTAGTGTTCTAGTGAGTTGTGCAAGTTGTGCATCTTCATGAGCGTGTTTGCTAACGTGCTTGGCACGTCTCTGTCTCTTTCCTTCTCTTTCTCCTCGGAAGTGGAAGGGACTGGCACGAAAACAAAAACAAAAGAGCGTGAGAGATCATATCTGGCACGGCATTGTGACTGCTTAGCTTACATGCGTTCCGGAGTGGGAGACGCCGGCGCCTGAGAGCTTTCGTCCTTTTTACTGCTCTGGAAAAACAAGAAAACATGTTTTCATTCTGGACGTGATCTTGAACGATCAGTTTCAACAAAGTGACCAAAAAGGAGATCATAAACAAGAAAAGAAAGAGAAGAAAGGAAAGTACATTAACTCAGATTTCTGAATGACCTCACGAACATTCAGGAGAACTTGTACACTTTTGTCCAGAGCATCAGTGCTTATTGCCTCTTTTCCTCATGGACGACTTCGTCGGACTCCTGCTGCTACGGTTCCATCGAATCGCGCTGGGGCTCGTCTGATAGCCCGGCTCGCGTTCGTGTGGACTATTTGCTCCATAGTATAGCGCCAATTAAATCCGAGAGCTCGGCTAGATCCTGGACTGTAGGTACGTTTGTCGACAATTGAGTATGATCACGGGATTCCACCGCTATATTCGTTCCGACGAGCTTACGAGTTTGAGCGTCCCCATTTTTTTGAGAAACGCGGCGAGATCGTTCTCGGGATTGCTGGCTCCACATTAGAATCCGAGAATGTTTGCAGAGGCAAGGGAAAAAGAATTGTCACAAAATTTCTTTTGCTTGAAATTCATCCTGGAACACGATTAGATACGTTAAGACGCTATTAAAACACCAGTTGGCTAGCATAATAAAATGTATCTAACAGCCCTTTCTTTTGTTAACAGATAATTTTATCTGATTTAATATGAAAAACGACAGGTTTGTAATTTATTCGAATCAATCACAAACAGACTCTATCACGGCCGAGGCTTAAACTTAGCTTTCACCGCTTCAATCGTGGCGTGGTCGAGTCCCCCGAGGGACGACGCGATAACTTCGTCTCGAATCCCAGAGCCAAACACACCGGGGCCAGCAAGGACGATTCCGGGGCCTTGGCTATCGAACAAGGCCAGCAATGTGGCTCTGCTGCTGCCAGGATTGTATAGGTAGTGGAGCATGCCTTTGGGAAGGATCATCACGTCTCCCGGCTGGAGGGTCTGCGCGAACAGGACGTTGCTCGAGTCCACAAACCCGGCCTCCACCTCTCCTTCCGCAATGTAGATGAGCTCGGATGCTCGGGGGTGGTAGTGCAGCGGGGCCGAGCCTCCGACTCCCAGGTAAGCTCTGGTGATGGAGAGGCCCATGGTGTTGAGAGCTGGGAAGTTTGCCGAGGTCAGTCGAGAGGCGTTCGAGGTCTGCGGTGGCTGGGAATTGGGGGCGTTTCCCAGGACTCTGGAGACGAAGTCACTGGGTGAAGGCGAGCTCTTGCACTGGTGCTGCTGCGCTTGAGTAGGAAGGCAGTAGTCTTGGAGTGGATCTGGATCAGCTGAATTGGAGAGAGTGACTGTAAGAGCAAAGAAGATGAGAAGAACCTGTAGAGACGAGGCCATTTTGGAGTGGAGGAGCTGTGCTCGAGTTATGCAGTCCAAGGCTACTATGTAGAGTGGGGGCCCTTTACAACGGTGACTGACTACCAACAGGAGTAGTCGTGGATATGATTTGTGCTTTGTTGTCTTCCACCTTTTCTTTCTGTGAGGCAAGAAAGGATTAAAAAGAGGTGGAGTTTACAAAAATAAGGGGCTAGCTAGGAGAACAAGGCCGAGCTTGCAAATAACATAGTGCAAAATGGTGATGAGAAAGATCTTGAAACTCTGGATTTGCCAATACAAGGGAGCAAGAATATTTTAAAAATATTCTAGCACACTAAAAAATATTCTGTTAAGATTTTAATAGTAATATTTTTATTAAATAACTTAATAAATTTAATAATATTTAGATTTTGGTAAATTACCAATAGTTGCTATTTAATAGAGGTTTTGCCTTTATCAACTAGTTTATAAAAGAAAATATTATTTTTAATATTTAATAATTGGTATTTATACTAATTATTTAAGTAAGAATCCTCTAATTTATAACATATATTTATATTAAATTTATTATTATTACATAAAATACCATATGTTATTTTAGATGTAATTTATAAATAAAACTTATTTATCTTATATTAAATTCTAATACAATACCAATATCTAATTCTTTTTCAATGTCATAAACACCCCATATTTAGACATTGCAAGGTGATGAATCCAAAGTTTAACATTTAGATCCATCCCAAGAAATATACAATATATAAAATATAATACTTGCAAGGGATGAAAGACTTATCAGAATTTTGATATTGAAAGAAGTATGTGCAAGTGTAACTTGGGAATTGGTTAACTGTGATGTTGCAAACTTTCTGTTTATAGTATCAATTCCATAAATAAAAACTATATATTTATAATGACAATATTGCTACTTGATATTGACATTTTTAACTTCTGCCTTCAACTATAATGTTTTTGAGTATGTTGCCTTTCCTTCTTTTGACCAAGCATTTGTAATCTTCACATGTTTGTTGTTTTTTTATTTTTGAAACTTCTTGAGAATAATGTTGATATTGAAAGTGTTCTTTTCAAATTTAAAACCTACTTCAACCAAAGCCTGAAACTCTAAATTCGTCAAGTTCACCTTTTCTTCAATTAGCCAAGTACATGATATATATTCTGGTTTTTGGATAATTTATGCTACAACAGACCATGTGTGCAAAATTTCTATTGGACAGAACCATATAAATTGGTCATAGTGTTATGGAGGATCACTATATTGTCGTTGTCCCAAAAAAAAAGGTGTTGGAGTGTGTAGACTTCCTGTGGTAATATGTTTACCATATAATTTTCCTCCAATCCAAGCAAGACACTTGACTAAAGATCTTGTTCTAGGTTGATATATAGCCCACTCAATCTTATGAATCTTTTGTTCTTTAACTTAAAAACACCTAAACTCTTGGTTGTTCGGAAGTAATAGTCCTCATTCTCTAGTAATATGCTCATACTCAGAATGGTGTGAATCTGTTAGCTATATTAGCTCACTTGTTCATCACTTCCTTCTAATAGTTTTGAAGTTCCCAATTAGTTTTGTTGTAGATCGAATTTCAAAATCATTTAAAGCTGATCGCATCACCTCTATAGGCTTTTGACTAGGAAGTTGTATTGATGTTATAGCAAATACACTAAATACTTAAGATTCAGTCTATTTCCTATAATATAGCCTTTCATATAAGTGCATAAAGATTTGTTGTAGGATAAAAATAACCATGTCATTTCAACAAGCTTTAAATATATGTACATGTTTAAAGCCACTTGTTTTTGCTAGCAACATCACATGGTAACTTTTGATAAGATTTATTGTTAGAATTTAGGCAGCAACTATTTCAAAACTCATCTACAATAGAAAGAGAATTAATAAAAAAGATCAATGCTAATACTTGCACACATGAGAAATAATTAATGTCCCTCAATGTGGAAAATGAGTAAACCACTATGTCCTAGAATTGCTTTCTCATAAGCATTACCTCCAGCCCACCATAAACGTATGAACTTGTATTGCTTTTTTGCATCTTTTAAAGTGTTTATAGCTCTTAAACTCTGACACAATTACTTATGCTCATCATGGTATTCAACTCAAATGCATTTCTCCATGTGTTTATGTAAACTCTGCTCCTAATGGAAAAGGCAAGTCCTCTCTCAGCCAACTAAAACCTTATCTAGACGACCATTGGAAATGGTTTTAATAGCTCACCAATTTGCTTAGGCTTCATCACTGTAGCACACTTGAATTTAGAGCTGAACTCCAAGCTTGTTATGCTATGAAACAAGGGTCTAATACAATCCCATGAGCACTAACCCCTCATATCTAGCATCTGCACGCAAAATGGTGTCAAATGGTGTTTGGCATAAATTTGGTATATTGGTGGCCTAATGCAAAGAGGAGGGTACCCCACTGACTATAGTAGCATAGATTTTGGGCTTAGACCCAACCTAAACATATAACAAGGAGCGACATACCCCAGCAGAAGCCAAACTAATGTTTCAGGTGGTTGGACATGTATTTCAACCACTATCCCTACTATACATTTGGAACCCCCCACCACCACCTTTGTTAACAGTTGCTTGTGAGCCTCCAGGGCGGAACCTTCCTTCCACCCTCTATTTCTAATCACCTTGTTTATTCCCAGAATTCTTATTCCTTTCCGAGATACCAGCATACAATTGTTGATATTGTTCCATGACCGAGTGACTAAAGGCAACTTGTTGTGCTGCCTCCTTACACTCTAGGTATATCTTTAGCATAAACTTCAAAATCTCATATGAGAAAGTGAACTTAAACCTTCTAAGAAATAACTTCAAGCATTTTTGTCACTTATATTTGCAATCATAGTGCACTTTTGAGCAAACACATTAACATAATGCATAAGGTCCCCTTGCTACTTTAACTACCGCAGCTTTGTGCAAAGTCTCAGACCAAGATCATCCGCTAAGTATTCCTTATAGATACGAGACTATATCTTGGTTCAGCTTCTAGTCTGCCCTTTTTTAGCACACACTTGGCACCACCAAGTTTTGGCATGATCAATGAGAAAGGACTGTGTGCACACAATTTTTATACAATCATCTATATCTGCCACTATGAAATAGTTTTCCATATTGTAGATATATATATTCTGGTTTTTGGATAATTTATGTTGCAACAGACCATGTGTGCAAAACTTTTGTTGGACAGAACCACATGAACTGATCACAGTGTTGTGGAGGGTCACCATATTGCCATTGTCCCCAAAAACAAGGTGCTGGAGTGTATAGAGTTCCTGTGGTAATATGTTTACCACATAATTTTCCTCCAATCTAAGCAAGACACTTGACTATAAATCTTATTCCAGGTTGATGTATAACCCACTCAATCTTATGAATGTTTTGTTCTTTAACTTAAAAACACTTAAACTCTTGGTTGCTTGGAAGCACTAGTCCTCCTCATTCTCTAGTAATATACTCATACTCAGAATGGTGTGAATCTGTCAACTACATCATCTCACTTGTTTGTCACTTCCTTCTGATAATTTTAAGGTTCTTAGTTGGTTTTGTTGCAGATTTAATTTCAAAATCATTTAAAGCTGATCCCATCACCTTTGGCTTTTGACTAGGAAATTGTATTGATGTTATAGCAAATACACCAAATCCTTAAGATTTGGTCTATTTCCTATAACTTAGCCTTTCATATAAGTGTATAAAGGCTTGTTAGGATAAAAATGACCAAGTCATTCCAACAAGCTTCAGATATATGTACATGTTTAGAGTCATTTGTTTTTGCTAGCAACATCATATGGTAACTTTCAATAAGATTTATTGTTAGAATTTAGGTAGCAACTATTTCAAAACTCATCTACAATAGAAAGAGAATTAATAAAAAAGATCAATACTAATACTTGCTCACATGAGAAATAATTAGAGTCCATCAATGTGGAAAATGAGTAAGCCACTATATCCTAGAATTGTTTTCTCATAAGCATTACTTCCAGCCCACCATAAATGTATAAACTTGTACTGCATTTTTGCATCTTTTAAAGTGTTTGTAACTTTTAAATTCTAACACAACTATTTATGCTCATCATGGTATTCAAATCAAATGTATTTCTCCATATGAGTAAATCCACTACTCACATGTCCTTTTCTACCTACATTTTTTTTTTAGCCTACCACTGAAGAGTTTACTATTGCCGAGGATGCACATGGCTCCTTCTCATTTGTTGTTAAAAAAAAAACCTTTCTATTCCAAGATCTTGCATCATTTGAACTTACCACAAACTCCTTTATTTGAAACTTTGCTTTAATGTAAGCGACTAAATTTTCCATTTTACTTTAGTCACTTAACCACACCTTTAACCAATTGAAGCAATCTCATTCACAACTTCCATAAGTTTTATTCCAGACTTGGGGATTTACTAGCCCCAAGGATGGCATCTATGCCACTCAACCATTACACTTGGTCTAAGTGCTCTATGTGTTTGATTTCGTGACTAACACCTAAATGTACTATTGACATACCAGCCCGTTACGCTAAGGCCATGCCTATTCACCTTTGTCACACCGGTGATCGAACACCACCTACATCATAGTCCTATCTCTCAAAGACTGGGCCATCTATCCATAAATGGTCATCCCAAATCCACTCTTTAGCATCTTTAGGATGCCTATAGATATGGGGAATAGCCTTCCTCAACATCCTTGTTTTGGTCCCCACTAAGTCCCTTTCTGTCCATAGCCAAGTTCACCAATACTGCCACTGGATCAAGGCTTATAAGCCTGACCATTAAGTCCCACTATCCTCTGGGATTTCCTCACTATGTTACTATATCCTTTATCACTATATTAGAGGGTTGTTCCTCTTCCTTTTCACAGTCTGGGGCTTTGGGATAACATTTCAAAACACCATAGCCCTACACAAGCCTCATGGGTACTCTCCCCACCTTTTGCCTTTGGGTGCTCTAGCCATGGGCTAGAGCAAATTTTCTTTG